GGAGCTCATTATTTTCATTTCTCACCACAGTCATGCCTCATTTCTTGGGGACGCATTGCACCGAGCTAAGCTACGAGCTATTGGATATAAGGTAGATCACTTCAGTGTCGAGCCATTTAATTTTTTCCTTCATTACCATCTTTTTCATAACAGGGTTGAGTCATCTTTTTGGTTTGATAGAATTTCCATGTCATTCATCCAGTAGGATTTTAGTTATGCATATCGTCAGGCTTATACCCTTCAGGTTGGTCATAGTCTAACCTAGAGCTTTCTTATGCTGTGAAAAAAATTTAGATAACTATATTCTTGGTCAGACATAAGAGTAAAAGAATATTTACCGACAATGTTTCGTTACTACCCAAGTAAGCATATTTAAGATGTGACAAAAATGTTTCAACTCTAAGGCAGGTTCATGATGCAACGAAGGTTTTGGGGGAATAAATTCCTCAAAATTCAAAGGTTTGAATCACGTTGCTAGTCTAGCTATGAGTCCGCAAGACTGCTGCACATTGGGTGGAAATTCCCTAAGCTTTTCATTTTCATCTTCATTGAGCTACACATAGTCCTTAATTTGCATAAAATTACTGTAGCAAAAGTTTTTAGCTTCATCGTCTACCATCGAGTCCATGTCTATAATGCATTAGCACTCCTCGAGATCATCCACATACCTAAGGGTGTTGAAAACATTGATGATTACAATCTGATCGACCACCCTCATGGTGAATTCATCTTTTCACAATCAATTGAAATTCTTCATGTGGATAAAAATGGGCGGCCCAAAATATAGGGTGCATTGTCATCAATACCATAATCAAGGATTAGTAAATAAGATGGGAACACAAACTTGTAAACTTTTACCATGACATCCTCAGTTCATCCTTCGGGTCGGACATGGGAACAATTAGGTAGTTGAAGGATAATGGTGGTTGCTCGTGCATTTCCAATCCTAAGCTTTAGGAAAACTCACTTTGGCATTAAGTTTACACTTGATCCAAGGTCATACAGGGCTCTACCCACATAGTTATCACTAATAGAATAAGGTATGATAAAGCTGACTGGATCTTTTTACTTTGGTGACAACTTGCTCAGTATAGAAAAACATTCTTTTACTATAGCAATTGTTTCAATCCTCTTGACCTTTCTCTTTTAGTAATGATATCTTTGATGAATTTTGCATATATAGGCATCTGGTCAATGACTTTCAAGAGTGGGACATTGATATATAGTTAGTCAAGGACACCAACAAACTTTTTGAATTGAAGGTCTATATTTTTCTTTTTCATTGTAGGAAGGGTGGTAGGGGTCTTATCTCCTCTACTACTGGTGGGAGAACCTTTACTGTAGTGTTAATTTTTCCACCATCGACAACTTCACTTGTAGATATTTCTTGGTCATCCTTCTCCGATGGTCTCGCATTTGCACTTCAGGATTATCCTGCATGATAGTGGGGGTTGAATCGTCCATTTTTCCTCCACCAAACTTAGCATCTTGATTAATTTGGGTGTCATTCCTTAGTGTAAATGCATTCCACTACTTTTTACCATGTGGTTTAGTGACTCCAGTGTCATTAGACAGACTACCTTGTGGATGAGCATGTAATGTTGCATCAATCTGACCTACTTGGTTCTCCAAAACTTTCAGAGATAACTATGACTTTACAATAAGGCTCATTGGTTATTGATAGTTGTGGAATGATTTTGCAACAAAGCCTTTGTAGTTTCCATGAAATCTTGGAATGAAGCTTCCCAAGATTTGTATTTGATGAAAATGTTGAACCCTTGTTAATATTTTTCCATGGCATATTCGGTTGAAAACCTGGGGGTTTAGTCACGTTCTGCTGTCGCGTGGAACTGCTTGCATTATTATTCCCTTGATTCCCCCACGAGAAAATTGGATGTTATCGCCAACCAGAGTTATATGTGTTAGAATAAGGGTTGTTGTTGTTCCTATTATAATACCCCACATAGTTGGTTGATTTCTAGATGTCAGGGTATTCACTCATATGATGATTGTTTTAGGATAAAACATATCCAGAACTGACACGGAGTCCTTAGCATCCAACTCAAAGGTTCCTTGAGCCTTCCACCATGTTCCTAGCCTTGAAGATGAAAATTGGTAGTCATTGTTTGCTATCCGGTTGAGGATATCAAAGGCTTCTTCAAGTTCCTTATCTAACAAAGTTCCATTTGCTGAGGCATCTAACATCATCTGAGTGGGAACATTAACACCATTTTAAAACATCACAACTTACTCCTATTAGTGGAATCCATGGTTGGTGCATTTACGCAACAATATTTTATATCGGTCCTAACACTCATACATTAACTGTCATTAGCTTGACGAAAAGATGCTATGTCATTTATGAGTTTAGTGTTCATGTTGGGTAGATTATACCACAACAGAAAACAGGTAAGACCAAGATTCCATTGAGCCTGATGGAACTCCACTTAGCTAAGCCCTTGCTCAGTCATGCCATGAATAGGGGAATAACTTTAGCTTCAGAACATCTTCATGCACCCCTTGCTGTCTAAAGGAGTCGTAGACTTCTATGAAAACATGAATGTATTGTTTTGCATCTTCTTGAGATGCACCACCAAATTCTAGATCGAGTTCAACATGTTGAACATCAACGATTTGATTTCAAAGTAGGATGCTGAATCTCGGGTGCCATTATTCTAGGGTTGAGATCATCCAAGATAGGAGCTAAATGATCTCGAATAGCATGTGGGTGTGCAACGATTCTCGCATTGGGAATTGCTGCGAAATTTGGATGTTTAGGATCCTCCACTTTTTCATCTCCTTGGTTTTATAGTGCATACATGTTTCTCTGATCCGTTGAGAACGTCTCATTTTTCTAAAAAATTGTTCGATCTTAAGTTCAATAGGTAATATTGGTCCTACGGGTCTCTTATGGGTCATGCACTAGAAAAATCTAAAAAGACAAACAAAAGAAAATAACATGTAAAACTATATAAAAATAAAGAAATAAAATAATACTATAAGGAAACATTTAAAAACAACAATTGCCAATCCTTGACAACGGCTCCAAAAACTCAATGTGTGTTGTGTGAGTGCTAAATTGAAAGAAAAATATGTGCAAGTATACACAATTGATCAAGTAATATAGTAGTGATTGAGTATCGCCTCCATGAGGATTGAATGGAATTAAAAGTAAGTTATAACAAAAGGGTGTCACTAAGTATATATATATATGATGGTATAGACAAATGAATAAAGTTTGGTTGTGGTAAAATGGTATGTTCAAGTAATGTGATAAATCTCCAAAAGAGTTATCGTTAGTAACCTTTTTCACCTAGGTTTAGTTTGAACTTGAGAATTTTTAGGAGCATTTTATGTGCATATTTTTTGAATTTAACATATTGTCCATATTGAGGATTTGTGGGTTACCTAGGGATAAATTTGATTTTTGCTACAAAATTGTATACTGATGTTATAACATTGCAAAAAATGTTGAACGGATATTGCAACAGTCGATGCAACTCCAGATAGTTAGGAGAATGTTTTGGATTAGACAATTGTCTTGGACAGCTGTAAATGAGTTAGATACCACCTAAAACGTGGATACATTTCATTGGGGGATAAAAATCTCCTCAAATATATAAATAAGAGTACTTTGCAAGCTAGGAAGGAGACGATTATGAAATTATTAGGAAGTACTCATTTTCTACGTTGGTTCTTTGCACGCCATGGAAGCTTAAGTCCCTGCCATGGATTGTGTCAGAAGAAGAGAGTCATCTGAGTAGCATCAATATTCATTAGATCACCATTCGAAGCCTTCTATTAAGAGAGGGAGTAATTTTAATGTTCTCTAAACGTTGTGGATGATATTTTGGATTGACTATTTTTATGTTTATTTTGATACTAATTTTTATGTACTCGTTGTTTCATAAATAGAAATAATTTTATTTAAACATATGATTTTATGATTATTGTCTGGAAATAGATTTGATTTCTTTGTGGTGCATTTTTAATAGCATTGGTATTGCTGAAGAGTAGTGAGTATGATGAAAAACATGCAACCAATCGATTAGATTTGTTAATACTTTGATATCTTTGATGAATGAAAGTAATTATATAGAAGAGTCTTAATCATTGCTAATCACATAAGATTAGTGTTCACTATTTACTTAATAGAATAAGTTCAATATATCATTTTTCTGTGATTTGATAGCTAACATCGTGTTCTTTGTTTGTTGTAGCATGACATGGTGTTTATTATATTGATTTTATTATCCTATTTAACAAACCTTTTCATATTGATTAACCTTTAAACTCTAATAAAGATCATTTTTATCCTTGTGGATTTGATTAACCTTTAAACTATAGTATCGGTTTGATTTAGAGTTTTTTGTATTTTTCTTATTGTTATTTTCATTTGTAGGTTCTTATTAATTTTTAATTTTACTAGTTTATGCCCAAAAGTGACGACAATTTAAAGTCGTTTGATCTAGAAATTGAATGGACTTTTAAATAATGTCGCCACGAAGCTGCAAGAAATAGACCAATTATGGCTAGACCAGGGAATGTTGCTTTGCCGCCACTCCAACAGGAGAGGATGAAGAGTTACCTACTGGCATTGAAGTAGGACAACAATTTGATAACATGGATTATAGAGATTGACATATTTGCAAACATGTAGTCTCGACATTGGATGATATGCATCTAGACATCATGATGCTAGTGATTAATTCTATGAAATTTGAATTAAAGTAGATCATGTTCCAAATGTTACAATCTATGGCACAATATGGAGGGTCTATTGTTGAAGTTCCTAGAATTCATATGAGAGCTTTTATGGAGGTTTGTAATTCGTTTATTCAACAAGGTGTTCTAGAGGAGGCACTGAAGATGAAGTTATTTCATTATTCACTATGTGATATAGCACGACTTGGTTGAGTTCACTACCACCAGGTGCTATAGCCTAGAATGAACTAGCACAAAAAGTTTTACTGAGATTTAATTCGTCAACTATGAATGCCAAGATTAGAAATAAGCTTGCAACTTACAAGAAAATGGATGATGAAAGCTTATATGAGGCTTGGGAACGATTTAAGGAGTTGCTACGGAAATTTCCTATGTATGGTTTCCCACATTGGACTCAAATGGAGTTGTTTTACTTCACACGTATGGTAGTTGATACTTCAATGAATGGAGCTCTATTAGATAAGACATATAATGAAGCATACAAAATACTAGAAATGATCTTAACTAATGATTGCCAATATATGAATACAAGAAGCATGTTTGGCCGAAGGAATACTGTAGCAGTAGATTCTAAAGCTTTCAACTCTATGTCATCACAAATTTCAACATTGATGGATATAGTAAAGAAATTACAAAAACCATGAGGAATGTATGAAGTTAAGGCTGCAGAACTCATTATTTACGTTTATTATGGAGATAATCACAACTTTCATAAATGTCCACAAAATCCAGAGTCTATCTATTATGTACGAAATTATCAAAGAATGACAATGCTTTCGGCAAGACATATAATTCTAATTTTAGGAATTACCCTAATCTTTCTTGGAGAAGTCAGAACATTTCTAATCCGTAGTAATAACATTATCAATGACAACATTATAATAGGAATGAACCATTGCCGCAGCCACAAGCACAACAAGAAGTTGTTCAGCCACAACAAAGAAATCATATCCAAGTTAATCTTCTACACAATCTTCAACTTTATCCTTTCTTGAAGCTTTAATTAAAGAGTATATGGCGAGCCATTCAGCATCATTATAAGCTCTATAGAATCAAATAGACCAAATGGATAATGATCTAAATAATCGGTTACAAGGGACGCTACCTAGCGATATAGAGAATCTGAAGTAACATTGTATGGCTATCACCATAAGGAGTGGAATTCATATTGGGGAGCCATTTGAAAAACAAAAAATGATGATGTAACTTCTAAGGGGAAAGGCAAAGAAGTTGAGTTAGAGCCACAAATGAGCCATAGTACAACATCCAACCCAAGACAGTGTAGAAATTCAGACTCATTGCCAACAAAAATACCAACTGCTGCTGATACTTCATAGATGTACTTTGCCAACTCACTATCAACATCCTGTTAACTGATGCTTTAGAAAAAAAACATGAATTACATCAAATTCATGAAGGAAGTCCTCTCAAAGAAAATGAGACTTGGTGAATTTGAAATTGTTTCTCTTACTGAGGGCTGCAGTGTTATGGCTACAAGTCAATTGCCACTAAAACATAAAGATCCAGGGATTTTACTATTCCTTACAATATTGGTTATAAATTTTTTGGCGATGCTTTTGTAACTTGGGTGTAAGTATCACTTTAATGCCTTTATCCATTTTTAGGAGATTTGGGAATGGCGAAGCAATACCAACTACAATCACTTTACAACTTGTTAATCGGTATACCGTGTATCCGAGTGGTATTATGGAAAATATGCTTGTAAGAGTAGATAAATTCATATTTCTTACAGACTTCATTATCGTGGATTGTGAACCAGATAAAGATATTCCTTTTATTATCAGACGACCATTCCTTATCATGGGCCAAGCATTAATTGATGTTGAAAGGGAGAATTGACTTTGCATTTAAATAAAGAGGATATCACTTTTAATGTCCTAAATAATGCTCCTTTTATAAATGATAATATTGAATGTCTCTTACTTGACGTGATTGATATTTTTGCAAGGAGCATTGGGAAAATGATGCAACACAGACAATTCATTAGTGATGAAGAAGGAATTGAAGAACTTTCTTATGATGCTAAGAGCCAATATTGCAGTATTATATAAAATATGTTGAACCTCTCAAAATTCCAGATCATATTTTTCAAGCCCTGAAACCATCTGTTAAAGAACCACCAATTTTTGAATTAAAACCTCTGCTAGAGCATTAAAAATACACTTACCTTGGAGAAAATGAAACATTGCCAATAATTATGGCCGCTTAGCTTTCAGCATCTCAAGAAGCTCAATTGAATAGGATGCTGAAGCATCACAAAAAAGAGATTACCTAGAGTATTACCAACATAAAATTCATTAGTCCATCATTTTGTATGCACAAAATTCTTTTGGAAGACCTAATAGTAGCTCGATTGAACACCAATGACGGCTAAATCCAATTATGAAAGAAGTTGTGAGGAAAGAGATTATCAACTGGTTAGATTTTGGGATTATATATCCAATCTCAGATAGTAATTGGGTTAGCCCGATGCAATGCATCCTGAAGAAAGGCAACATTATTGTGGTGACAAACTAAAAAATGAATTAGTGCCGACGAGGACTACTGCGGGTTGGAGAATATGTACGAACTATAGAAAGCTAAATAAAGCAACAAGAAAAGACTAATTTCCATTACTTTTTATAGACCAAATGTTAGATCGTCTTGCTGTCAAATCTTTTTATTGCTTCTTGGATGGGTACAATGTTTATAATCAAATCACTATAGCACCGGAAGACTAGGAGAAAACCACATTTATATGTTTGTATGGTACCTTTTCTTTTAGCAGAATGTCATTTGCGATATGTAATACCCCAGCAACATTTCAACGTTAAATGATGGCCATTTTTTTGATATGATTGAAGATTATCTCAAGGTATTTATGGATTATTTTTTCATGTTTGGGCAATATTTTGATATTTTTTGTCTAACTTAGCTGTTGTATTGAGTAGATGTGAGGAGACCAACTTGGTTTTAAATTAGTAGAAAGGTCATTTTATGGTAACTAAATGTATAGTGCTTGGGCATTGTATATCTGGTTGTGACTGATGAATGTTCTAAATACATATTATTTTCTTATTAAATCTTTGATCTTATGGATTTATTGCTGTTGATTTGGTTATGTTATGCCTATTTTCGTGCATGATCTTACTTTATAGGATTAGTAGTAAAAAGGGAGCATTCTACATTTTTATTATTTGGTCACGACTAGAAACATGGGAACAACTCTGGGCCTGACACGGTCTGACGTGGAAGTTTCTAGAAGTTCCAGTCAACAACAATTTTCTAGAAGATCTAGTCAGCACCTTCTGGAAGGTGGACGGGCAGAGATATCTTAGGAGATTTACTTTTAATTTTAAAGTTTAAATTTAGAAAACATTTGCAATTATCTTTAGGATTATTTTTCTTTTTATTTCTATATTTATCTCTAGGGTTTTAGAGGCTATAAATACCCTCTTGGGGTAAGCCTAAACACACAACTCATATTTCACTCTTCTTCTTACTTCTAGTTTTATAAAGTTATTTCTTTTCTTTTCTTTTATTTTCTTTTCAAGTTTTCATTTTCATTTTATTCTAAGTTTTATTTTTAAACATGCTAAGCATGACTTTTGTCATGTTTAGCTAATTTTCTCATAAGCCGAGAGCTTAAGCGATGACTCAATTCGAACGTGAGAATTGAAAAGCACTTCAATAACTTTGGAATATCTCTTTCAATCTTTGCGCTTATTTTCAAAAATCAAAATTGTTTTCAAAATAAAAGATTGACTTTGGTAAAGATATTTTTGCGATTAAATGTGTGGGAGGAAGGATCAACTTAACGAAAGCACATTCGACTTCCTGGCAACACACTTGGTGAGATTACCTCGCTAAGAGAGATTGAGATCATAATTACTACTTATTAAAACAACAATCCGAATTGGTCTTCATGAATTTAAACAGTTATTGATCTACGATAATTGATGTTGATCAATCAATTCCCGAAGCCAGAATCAAAGGTTGCTTCAGGTATTTGATATACAAAGTAGAGTCACAAGGATTTCCCTTGTAGACAAAGTAACCGACGTGAATCTTGTAGGGAAAATCTAATTCGATGATCCGAAGGAAATTGAGTCAAAGCGAGGCTTGAGATTGTTTATACCATATTCATTTTTAACTTTACATTCTTCTTTATTTTTGCTTTAAATTTCTTTTTATTATTTAATCATTTTTACCAAAACCCCTTTTTTATCTACTGCATAACACCTGGTCAAGGCGATTCAAACCAAAATTTAGGAATTTTCTAAGTCCTTATGGATCGACCCTTACTTCTTTTTACTACATATTTCCTTTATTTATTAATTGAGAAGAAGGAATTTATTTTGACACCAAAAAGACAATTGTCAAATTGGAACTTTTGTCGGGGACTTCGCCAAAGTTACTAATTTTATCTTCTTTTGATTTATTACTAGGACAAACCCGGGCGAATTAGTGGAGTATGACCAAAAATTGAAGCCAGATCTCGGAGACTTCACACACAGATGCTTTGGGAAAGAAAGATACAACAATTAGACCCGTAATTGAATTTAGGATCAAATTCAGACGAAGTCATTCATATCAAACCAAATCTAATGGTCGATCTTACAATCAGAGAGTTAATTACAACTCCTACTGAACAAGAACCTTTGTGTATTAATTTACCCAAGATGAAACTCCACCAGTTAAAAACTGTCCTTATTCATCTTCTCCTTACCTTCCACATATTACTAAACAAGAATCCGCATAAACATCTCACAGAACTTCACATGGTTAGCTCCAGCATGAGACCACATGGAGTAACTAACGACCAAATCAAACTTACAACTTTTCTTTTTTTCTTAGCCAATTTGGCTAAGGAATGGTTATTTTATTTACCCCCAAATTCTATTACTACATGGGCTCAAAAGACTCACCTTTTTCTTGATAGGTTTTTTCCCTGCAACGAAAGAAAACGAGTTACGAAGAAGAATACTTGGAATCAAACAACTTGATAGAGAGTCATTATATGACTAATGGGAGAGATTTAAAAAGTTTTGTGCTAGTTGCACACAACATGGGTTAACAGAACAAACACTCCTTTAACATTTTTATGAAGGATTTACTCCCATGGAAATGAAGATGATCGATGCTGCCAGCAGAGGATCTTTGGTGAACATGACTCCTACTGAGGCTAGGGATTTAATTTCGACAATGACCGCAAATTCTCAACAGTTCCGGCCAACTAATGAACTTCCTCGAAGAGTTCAAGAGATAAGTTCATCTTCCTTAGAGGGTAGTATAGATAAATTAACTGAAGTAGTCAACTCTCTTGTTGCAGCAAATATATGACCCAACATATTATGTGGAATATGTACATTACCTTATCAT